TGCCGGTCACGGTAGCCGAGCGGTCTAAGGCATGTACTGTCTTCGCTCGCTTGGAAACCGGGATCGTGGGTTCGAATCCCACTCAGGGCATGGATGTTTAGCTTGTGTGTGTGCGTTTTTCTGTGTTTGTGTACAGGTAGAGGCTTTGCGACGAGCTGATCATCCGCCCAAGGAGTCCTACCGAATGTGTAAGATCTAGAAAAACCGAAGTGAACGGAGAAGTTCATGGAGGTAGGCCTAGGCCCACTGGGGCTGTAGTGCCAAGAAAAAAGAAAGTGGGGTGGGACTAAGTCCTTTATACTGCGGCCACTTCTGGTCTATTGTACCAGCCCCAGATGATAGGTGAGGGTGATTGTGGAGCAATTGATGGAATGAAGATTGGCAGGGGGAACCGAAGTACTCGGAGAAAACCTGCCCTAGCGCCGCTTTGTCCACCATAAATCCCACTTGACCAGACCTGGGATCGAACCCGGGCCGCCGCGATGGGAAGCCAGCGACTAACCGCTTGAGCTATGGCGCGGCCGATATACACCTTGACCAGTTGGCACTGCCAGTTTTAGAAGGGGTTCGGCCATTCAATTTTTGCTGATCGCCTGGAAATATTTTTTTAATGCTGTCACGTGTTGAGTTCGAATCCTGTCGGTCACGTGTGTAAGTCCAATCCCACTTCTGAAACACCAGTTGTCACGTGTTGTGTGTATACGCGACAAATAACTTCACGCCAATACTCTTAGGGGGAGGGCACACCAAGCAAACTGGCAACTGCAATTTCCTAGAAAAATTGCCGATTACAAGCATGCAACTGGTTTCCAGTTTATGTATGGTCGCCCGACGTAATGCATGATTGCATTTTTTTTTTAATTTGGTGCAGTTGCCTTCTGCAGTGGAAGATAATAATACTGATCCTGTCATAATATGGTGGTATATGAGTCGGCTGGGACGGCGCGAGGGGAGAGGACCACAACCGTAAGGAAAAAATAAAAAAAATAGTAAAGTAAAGCTGTCCCTGTAACAGGCCATGAAGGTCCATAGGGTTGTGAGATGTTGAGGGTCCCACATTATCTAGACAATCGGCTCAAAGATGGCGGTAAGGTTGTCAGCCTTACACGCCGGCCGCGCTTTACTCCCCAGGAAAATTGTTTGATTAATTTTTGGTACTCATATCTGTTAGAGGCTGAGTCGACCCCAGGGCCATAGTGCAGCTGGAAGGTTTAGGTCAACTGAAAAAATCCAATTACTTCATCGGGACTTGAACCCGCGAACTTCCGGCTTGTAGCATAGCCCCTCAACCAACTACGCTACCGCGTGCACCAAAGTGGGTGTGTTTGGCCGCCAATTTCGTGCATTTCTTTTCTGCAACGTCAGATAATAATATTGATCCTGTCATAACATTGTGGTGGTTGAGACAGCATAAGAGGAGGAGGCAGGTGAAAAGAAACAACTGGTACATCCATTCTTCTGCAACAATTTACACTAAGGAGCTTATATTGTTTTGAAAGAACTTAATCAGGATCCAGAACTGTTCCAATCATTTTACAGAATCAGCATTAAAAGTTTTTCTTTATTAATTGTAGGGCCTCATATTCGAAGAAAAGATACAAATTTTTGTACAACTGTGTCAGCAGAAGAAAGACTATTGATTACTCTGAGGTATTGCTATAAGTATCCTGCAGATCTCTGAACAAATACAACACCACTGCTAGAGGTTGTGTGTTTACATTGTTTGTGACAATAAATTTCTGTCATCCATTCCATTTAAATGTGGGTTGACATTTCCTAATGTCCTCTGTTCTGTTTCTCAATAAGTGAACTCTGACTGGGAGCTATCCTGTACTTCTCGAAGAGATGTCATATAATAAAAAACGGATGTTTCACTCAATCCTGTGGAAGACTGCTGGTCCCTTCCTGTATCTTCCAATAACTCGTCCCTTAAATTCAGAGCTCCAATTTTAAATGTACGTTTCTGCTTAGCAGTCACTGATTTCATGTCTGGGAGTAAGCTGTGCAAAAATTCTGCATCTGGATCTGGAGTTTTTGACTGCGTTTTTTGCTTCATGCAGTTCATGAATCTTCAACTGGATCCAAGGCAGTGAGCCAACGTCATTTGTCAAGTGACTGCTGCCTACAATCATTTTGGTTTCTCTGACAACAAGAAGCTTGTATTACAGTAGGACTCTGATGGCGTGATACTTTCCGGCACATTTTCATTCATCCATCTGAATGTCTTCTTCGTTATCTCCAGAAAATGCTGTTATCTTCTTGTGTGGAGCCACCAAATTGATTTTTGCTGGTGCCAATTTTTCGTTATGTGAGGATTCATGAACTGCATTGCATCATGAAGATAATAAGGATGTTTCTTAGTAGCAGACAACCCAGAAGGTATCTTATCATGCAAATGACAAATGAATACTGTTCAAAGGATGTAGGAAATAATAAGACTACAAATGGCTTGAGACCATTAAGATGAAATCTCCATTAAGAGAAAATAGCCATACAAACATTCAGATGTGTGTCCCACATAGATTTGACTTACACGTGAATTCCTGTGTAAATAAAATCTTGGAAGTTTTTAATAGAAAATTAAGGAATACTGCTTTTATAAAGTTAGATTCAAATAGAGACCTATATAGTACAAAACGTGGGTTACACCTGAATGATAAAGGGAAGCAATTGGCTGCAAAGAAAATAGTAACTGCTATAAAATACATGTAAAAAAAAAAAAAAGAACAAATTTATATGACTTGAAATGAAGATCGAGCAAAAGAAACACTGGAAAATCACAATATCCAGGAACATCAAGATCAGGGATTTGAAGAGTCCAGAGAAGGAAAGGGGGCTGATAGATATCAAGGAAGACACTCATCTCCAAACAGACAACAGATGTCAGGGTCTAAATGATGATATGACTACAACTGCTTCATCAAAAAGACTTTGGACACCACCTATTACAAGAAAGGATGATTTTTTTATGGACGGACATCAGCAGAACAAAACTAGAATTGGTATAAACGTAGACAATAAAAAGGATTTAAATTCTTCACAGATATGCGACATTATTTGGTTCTGTTGCATGGTGTCTCTACAGCAGTGTTGCCACTATTAAAGTTCCAACCCTCATATGTGGTTTCAAAAAAATAATCTTATAATAAATACTGAAAAAATAGTTGCTATGTCATTTCATTCAAAACATGAGATTTTCTTTGAGACCACAGATAACCCTCAAAAATATAAAAATCGCCTATCAGTCAGAACTGGGATTTGTAGGAATCTGTATCATGGAAAACTTTAATATCAGGTGCTCATGCCCGATCATTAAGAACAAAGCTACCTGAAGTAGTATGTATGATGAAAATATTAAAGGAAACAATGGGCTCTTATATGATAGGAAACATTATTTGAATTTTCACACATGTCTGACATGTGGCATTATATTATGGGATGGGGACAGTGAAAGTANAAAATAATATATTTATTGACACCTGACGCACACCACTTCAGCTATCGCTGATCTTCACACTTTACAATTCACCGTTACACACACTAGGACTTTCAATCATCACTAGTCGTATCCTGGCAACGGATTTATAACAGTCTCACTGTCACTGCAGCACACACGAAGTCTTTTACGCAGAGTCTAATTATTTTCCTGCCATTTATTCTCAGTCACCTTCTACCGTCGACTCTCCCAATTTTGATTCTAGCTGCCTGAGGTCCTCTATATACAGAAGTGATATGCTTTATTAAAAATCGTAAAACTATGGAAAAATATGGACATCCATAATCATAACACGCAAAAAAGATTAAATTTACATGTACAACATTGTAATACAGTCCTGTTAAAGAAAAGCATGATAAATATGGGTATCAGTTTATACAGTAAGGTTCCAGATCAGATAAAATTTATGGAAAATTTTAATTTATTTAAAAAAGACTTAAAATCCTTTCTATTGAATAATTCTTTACTCTGTTAAGGAATTTATGTCATTTTAAATTTTCAGTATGTGTGAGTGTATTATTGTCTCTTGAAATTATAAAGATCTTGTTTTCATATAATTTTTATAACTTTGGATACAGTGCTTATTCTGGTAATAGAAATTTTGTATGTGGGTTTGTCATATTGTATCTCATTTTTATAGCTGTATATGGTATTTGTTTGTGACATGTACACAATTTGTGTATGTAGTTAAATATTATAGTACTGGTGACTTATATATGATAACATTTGATGTGTTCTATATCTGGAGGCTGAATCACCAAACATGGAATAAATAAATAAATATAATGGTGTTTTGTGTGTTAAACTTAATATTCTGAGTGCAGTGTTGCCAACATCACTTTTAATATTGTATTTCAGCATCCTGTTGCATTGATGTATCACTCTACACACTCACTTCTGTCTTTAATGCAACTCTGTTCACAATCTCTTTTTAATTTAAAATAGCATTAAAGTCACAATTAACTGCTAGATGTTTCGGCCTTACTTGGTTATCTTCAGGCAACTGTTCATGTTTTGAAATTGCCACACTGCATTAGTTCTTAAGTTGAAATATTTTACATATTAACCCTTTGGGGAGTTAGGTTTTCCTGCAACGAGAATACAACTTGGTATCTCAAGTATTGCACTGATATGAACAAAACTGAGATATGTTTTGTTATATTACACAATCCCACAGAAAATGAACTTTAATTAAATAACAATAGCAATTTTTAAAATCGCACACATTTTTAAAAAGTTCCCACAACTGTATTTTTTCAACATACAATTTGATGCAATATAGTTAAATCCCATATGGTTGCTATATATTATAGCTGCTGGTACAAAAAACCTAACAGAAGAGGGTCTGGGTTATTTATATTGTCACGTGTTGGGTGTTTGTAACGTGACAACAAAATATTAACGTTTCTTTCCCATACATCCCTTATGTGACCCTTGCAAGAACCACAAATATCCATAATTGATCTTGGTAGCTGCAACTTACAAACTGCATAGGGATAACACATCCCTAAACCATTCTTGTATTACAGCTAATGAATACATGTATATTTGGATATCACAACAAAAATCAAAGCATTCCCAGTCTATGTTAGAAGAGGATAGTGACAGTTTCAAACTGCTAAATTGACACGCACTGACTACACAGTGAGGAAGATCATGATGCTATGTATATCTGGGTTCCTCAGCAAAAGGGTGCAGGAGCAGTTGTAAGAATGAATGAGAATTTATCTTGGAAACCTCTTCAAAAGAACTCCTTTAATTTGTAGATCTGCTGACTTTCATGCAGGGGCCTTGTACCAAGAATTTTGTGCCCCTTTACACCTTTGAGGTGCATGTCACAAGAGTGAGCAGTTCATGAATACCACTGAGATGCCACGACAGTAATAGCAAATTGTTTTCATCAGAATACATTGCAACATCTATATTTAATAAATGAGACACATTTTTAAATTGGTGTATATATGTATATACAGTTCTTTTAATTAGTACAGTATATTCACTTCTTATTAAAATTCAAAAACACTTTCTTTATGCATACATGCACAATATAAATTCTTGTATGGACTATGTACTGAATGTCTGAAATATTTTTAGAACTTTTTACTGTAGGAAAATCAAGCACCAAGAAGCCCAGAATTTACCATAAATCTTGACTCATCATACAGAATGGAGCATTACTAGGTTTGCCCACCAAGCACAATTCAATGTGAACACAGAGAATCTGGTGTTACTTCAGCCCCTAATATGGATCTGCACAACCATGACACACCCCTGTAACAGAAGTGTAGAAAATAAGGGTCTTGAATTGTGGTGTTCAATAACATAATATAACATAACATTGCATTGCATTCCATGGATCCAAAGTTAGTCAAAATGACTGCAGGATGTGGAATATGTCATATAAATACAAAACATATGTACAGTCCCAATGGAGTTCTCACACAAGAGAAACCAAGAATACACAGTGACTACACACAAGGCTATTTAAAGATACATAAGTTATTTTCTAGACAATAGGTATTCATCAACAGAGTAGAATAAGTGTGTGTTTAAGTATCGTTTCAGTGCTATTTTAAATCATGCTTTTTTTTTCTTAAGACTTTTGAGATCAGTTGGCAGGTTATTAAAAATCTTGATCCCAGCACAATATGTGCCTTTCTGAAAGCATGAGAGGTTAGCAGTGTCTTGTGTTAACACTGTGTACATCCGCATTCATCTGAAAATGTTCTTCATTATTTGTAATGAAGTTTATTAATGAATATATATATATATACATTCACAAGGAAAAGTTAAGATCTGTAGTCTCTTAAATAGATCTCCACAAGAATTATGGGATTTGACACCCATCATGATTCTAACAATTTTCTTTTGCAATGTAAATACCTTTTTACGGTCAGATGAATTTTAAATAACTCCATCATACAAATATATATGTGGCAGAGACTGGCAGTATATATATTCTTTTGATCGGCTTTACTTTCCAGCTATTTGGTGTGTTGGGGCATGGCCTTTCTACTATGGATGTTCATTGTGTGGGTTGCTGCCTTTCTTGCTTGATCAGCTGTAACAGTAACATTGTAGTGTGAAGAGTACTGGTTCCCTTGCAGTGCATATCTCTCAGAATCGATGTTATCGGAATAAAACAAGGGATCCATAATACTTGTCCTTAGGGAATGCCAAACACAAACTCAGTGTACAAGATGTAGATTTCCTGTGCTCCAGTATCAGTTGTTCTGTGTTCATTCAAATGAAACAAAGCCTCACCTGAAAAATGTCAACACAGCATAAAGTCTGCCATTGTGAACTGACTGAAAATACCAGCTTGCAGAAATTCATACAGCTACAAAGAGTGGACAGCTGTAGTTCTGTAACATCATGGTTTCAACAACTGTACTGTGGTCCTGTTTCATGTGCAGGGTGGTTGAGAGGCTTACAAGGTGAATGTTTAAGCTAAGCTCTGACATTATCCAACCTTACTTGTTAATATTTGATGCTGATATTATGGTTTCCTGTCCATCAGCAGACCAGTTGTTATCTATTTGATTGATAAGATTCTGAATAGCATTTCCATGGGACTCTTTCTTCTTGACTTACACTTCACGTAATACTCATACATAAAGCCCTCAGTGCCCAAGTGTAAACTCACCGATGCCCAACATAAATGTGAAAAATGTAACAAAATTATTGGAACTATGGCCTCACAAAAAACCAAAGCTGTGCACTGGTATCTTCAGTCAGTTTATGGTGGTGGCCAGTACCGAGGTGACATTTGTTTCTCCACTTGTTTTTAATGGGCATATGAACACACAAGATAACAGATGCTGGAAGATAAAAAAATCCACTACTCATACATAAAGTTCTACTCCATTATGTAAATGTTGGTGTCTGACTGTCCAGAGTGTAGGGAGGATTACATGTTGTGTGTTTTGCACAGACACAGCTAATTCTGAAGGATACCAGATACACAGATACTGCAAGTGGACCAGTAACTCTATGATGCCACAGCTGCAGCTGACTAAGTAGGAAATATGGCAACCCATGGATTGAATCCATCAAAATAGCCATAAAATAATCTCACTGCACTACTGCTGAAGAGCTGTAAAAGAATCCAAGCTTGATCTTCTTTCATATTCAGAAGAACTTTAGCGCTCATTCTAACATTTGACACCTCGTGTATCTCTTGTTACAGAGTATTTGTCAGTGATAGTGTAAAACAATAACAATAAAAGTACCAATAATTAATGTTGGGGTGATTTAATTAATTCTTTCTGATTTTGCCAGACAATGACTAATGCTTATGCATTATCATGTATACAGACATTTGTTGGTGGGCTGCTCCCATGGAATTGGGAAACTGATCTTCTTATTGGACAGTAATCCTTCAGAAATGCATTACCAGTGTGTTGATTTTTAGCCTCACTTTAAGACCAAGCTGAGCTGTGAACACTGACCTATGGATGGAAGATGCTGAAACAGACTAGCAGCACAGTCTGCTCCTTTGTACAGTCAAAGCTGACTCAGTCATCCAGCTCTAAATCCAGTTCTAGATCCAAAATCTCAATCTCCTTGAACGTATTTATAACTGCATACCGTGAGAAATTCATATAGAGCTTCCGGAACCACACATACTGTGAACGGTGGGCAGCCATTGCTGTCTGTAACAAAACACAATCAGTGCTCATTAGACGTTGATATATTCTCATCATAAGGCATGATGAACACTTTCAGACAAATGATGAAGCAGTATAACAAAAGAATTTGGTCAACACAAAATTTTCAGTTGCACAAATTAATTCCATCCATTAACCAATTTTTGGAAATTTTCTTCATTATTATGAAATCAAGTATTAAGAAAATCTCAGTGGAACAAAATGGGTTCCCTTAAGTAATTTAAATGAATGAAAATGGTGAACAAGACAGAACTGACATAAATTTGTTACAGTATATTTTCACATCTTATAACATTGTATTTTCATACACCATATCATTAAATGCATGCCTGTGCTTCCGTGTGACAGCATATTGCAAGGTAAAAGAACAACTTTGGCCACGTATCTACAGAGCTTCACATCACTGCAGCCAGCAAACTGAACAAAACTAAGTTGAAATCAAGCTGTAATAACCATTTTACTCAAATAAACCCTGCAAGGCAATCTATAAGCTTCAGCACAAATGATTAAAGAGGAATTACAGTTGGAATAAAACCATCAGGTATAACTATGGCATGTAGGTCCATTGCTAGGCAACGACTGCAAAATAAGTGAATATACAACAGCCACTGCTTGGTAGTGGCTCTGTCAACAGACACAAAAGCCACAATTCCATAGCAACAACTGCACTGCCTCAGAGGAGCAGTGTTTTCTACATGGTATGTGCCATGATGTTATAAGCAAAGGGCCAGCAGCAATTCAGGAGTCAATCAGATAACCGGTGGGGTTCTGTTGTGGGCTGTTGCTATGAGAAGCTGGTAGCTGAGGCTGAGGACAGTTCAGGAACCCAGAGGAAGGGGAAGGTCCGCCACTGAAACCTCTACCAAGCGACAGTAGTGAATATGTGACTGTGGACACTAGAGAGTTTGAATGTGTGAGCAGAGAAGGAGCTGTCAGAGCCCATCACCAAAAGCCAAAATTAGAATTCAGTTATGGATGTGTGCAATACAGCTACATCTTCAGTGCTATTAACTGTAAATACAGCTATAGTAAATGCACAGGTTATTACAGTTATATCATAAACTTGTGGTGAGACACTAACCAATGAATGAAACCAAAGTTACTTGGACATTTAAAAAGAAAACATAGTGACTTGAAGAATAAACCAAGAGGCTCTTTGGAATGAAGATATTCAGAGCATGATAATGGAGTTAAATGAGAGTATGTTTGTAATAACAAATCACTACTAACAGCCACCTCTAAAATCTTTGCAGACTTATAATGTGAGAGAGCAATTTTTCAGAGGCAAAAAATATAGAAAGCAGGCATTACTTGTGAAGTTCCTAGAATATCACAGAGCCAAGGTGACAGATGAAGTAGCTATTGGAATTAAGACACTCACTTCCACCCATTTTTAGCAACACACTGCATCGTTCATTGAAAACGGGTGTGTATGGTTCCCATATTAAACAAAGTGAACCAGCCAGTTAGTATTATGAAAGGTGTAAAATCACAATAATATAAAATTTTGTGCTAAAATATGAGAGCACACAACTAGCAGCTATTGTTCCATACACAAATGAGGTAAATCTATAGTGGCAAAACTTTAATTTGTCTGTATTAACTGAGTAATAACATTCAGAGAATTCTGAGGGTAAGAACTTGGGAAATGATAAATGGATATCAGTGCTCTTTATTTTATCTACATCTTAGGCTTTTCAATGCACTCGACTTTAGCACGCAGGGAACAGTTTTCACAGTAGCTCACACACACTGTTTTCACATGAAGACAGCTACATGGACTGAAGGAATGCTTACTGCAGATTCAGTAGTTTTTCTGAGTTTGGTACTTCAATGAAGAATGTGTCTGCCTTATTAAAGATAAATTGTAAAACTGGAGAAGGAATACCTTACATTACAACATTGTTACTAAATGCATGGGCAGCAGACAGAAGAAAACTAGGTACAGAAGGGAAGATTAACTCACAAAAATGACGGCAGATATAGGCTTTCTGTCATTGTTCTATCTAAAGTCTCTTCCCGCATTCTGAACAGCTGTCAGAAGAGAGTATAAGAACTTAAGCATCAAAGCACATGTTTGCTGCTTAATACTGCATATTTGCTCAAGACAAGAACTGTGAAGCCAGCAGAGACAGCTCTTGCTAGGGAACGGTGCTGCAAACGTGCTCATTTTTACACATGAGATTTATAATATGCAACAAAGGAGTAACTGGAAAGTGGTGTTCTCTACATGGTCCAGCCGATTGCTACGTGATGCAAGAACAGAAGAACTGTTGCAAGATGTCTTTACTGTGCGGTCTGTGCTGAGGTGTTATCATTGGCCAATAAGGATGCAAACATGAAGATGAGGAAGCTGTGGCACTGAACGCTGTTACCAGGCGACAACCAGTGAAGATACAGCAGACTGAGATAACTGTACGTGATGTAGTGAACTGCAGAGTATGTGAATTAGTGTTAGCGCTATAGTTATTTGTAGTTGCGTTCTGTAAGAGTTCAGTAAATCCAACTATCAAACCAAACCCTGTCTATAGTCAGTCAATCATTTGACAATACTGTTGTGAAAAAATATTTTCATAATGACCTACTTGTGAACATAGATTTTTTATAATGACCTTCATAAAACATACCAAAGAGATAGATTGGATACTGAAGCGTCAATGCTCCCTGCGACTGGCAAGAAACTTCCTCACACTGCACAATTTGTGAAAAGCAATCATATACATTGTAACAATGAAGAAGCACTTTTAATATATAAATTAGCAGAGTCAGATACCATAAACATGTAAAAACATAGTTTATAACGGATATGTCTTACCTGACAGCATGGAATATGTGCACTGAAAGTAATGGTTCAGAAGTTTTGAAATTATGAAAATACTTTTCAAAATAAATTTTAAAATACTAGAATGTAACTGATGGAGTGCATAAAGTTCATTATATTATTAAGAATTTTTAAGACTGTTCCACGGCAGTTTTTAGGGTTCCATACCAGTGTGTTAATTCAGAGTCTGAGAAACATTGCTCTAGCATACAGATATACTGATCTGCAAAAGTGTGTCACTAGAAAGTCATCAGAATTTTGGCTACCAGGAAATAGAAAACTTTACCATGAACTGATAGGCAAGTACTGCAAACATGTACATTCGTACATAGACCAGCATTGTTAATTCCATTAAAAATCTAAATGAATTCTGGATTTTCTAGATAGAGATTATGATGTGTATTACGTGGTAAGCATTTCTCTTCCGTTCTTATGACTAAAGGAAACATGCCCAAGATTTTTAACAAGTATCATGCAGGATTTAAAATGAAATTATTTTACCTGTAATAGAAACCATGTTCTCTAGCGAAAATTTCAAATGGATGAAATCATCTGAGTAAAAATTTGTATAAACAGTAATGCAGGAATCATTATTCTATGACAAATATGTATAAACCTATATGTATTTATACTGTGAAGATAACTCAAAATAAATAAAGTATGAAGAAGAAATGACAGTATTAAGTAAAACTTTTCATGCAAATGGCAAGTACATGTTTCTATAGCTTTTCCTTTAGAGTTGGTGATTGCACTGTAACTTGAGTAAAACAACTAGTAATGCTATCTGATGGTAAGGCCACGCCATAGCTGAAGCGGTTATTCGCTGGTTACCCACTGCGGCGGCCTGGGTTCGATCCCGGGTCTGGTCAAGTGGGATTTGTGGTGGACAAAGTGGCGCTGGGGTGGGGTTTCTCTGAGTACTTCGGTTTCCCCTGCCAATCTTCATTCCACCAAATTCTCCATCATCATAATCATCCAGGGCAGGTACAATAAGCCAATCAGTGGCCACTGTGCCGAGTGGATCCAGCTGGACTCCACCCCCCACTAAGCGAATCTGATGGTAACTTCTGGTTAACAGTATTTTTTTTAGAGAATCACTGTTTTTCTGAATTGTCAAAATCCTTAAACAAAGTAAAATTACATGACCTTTCTTATTTTAAAATGGGAAAATTATGTATTGTTGGAAAATCAAGAAAATGAGGACAAATAATGAATTGCAGTAGTTAACAATATCAGAATGTATGTCATATTTTTTTCTGATAAGTATATTGACTGCATAAATACATGACTCAGTATCCTGATTTCAGGTTTTCACAGTGGTTCATATTCTTATGGTCATAGCACCAAATCAAAATGGTGAAATTTTGGCAACTTACTGCTTCCCTGAAGGAGCAGATTGGCATCTTTTGTTGATATGTGTACATGTGCCTTCATGCATGTATCTTAGCTAAATATTTGACATAGGCTGACCAGAAAGAAGTTACCACCTTTTAACTGCTGTGTTACCATCTGTAACAGGATCATTAAACACTGACACTGTGATTCGTATATTGGAAGCAGTTTAATGTGTACTAACTGCAGTGAATACTGAAATTGAGAGCTGTAATTTTAGTGACTGATTCTAATGTAATTTGAAGAAAACAGGCATGAATAATGAGCAGATAAAAATGTGGTCATGGCCTATTTGAACACATTATCCTGGAATCCACCTGCACAGACTGAGAACAACCATGGGAAATGTTGATCAGGCTAACTGGTTAGCAAATCTGAAATTCAAACTGGACACCTTCCAAACATGAGTTTAGAATAGTGCCACTAAATTAACCTGCTCTTACCTTCAGAATCTTGCGATCACTGAGTGATATAATGTACCAATATGAAGAAAGGAGGTAGCTTATTGGAATATCCAGCATTGCTGAGTACTTCCTCAGTGTATTGATGGACTCCAGTGCATATGCCTTGCAGTCTACATATAAAAGAGAATATTCACAAAAGTACACATGGTGTACCACAAACAGGTGCATCTCATATGAAGTCCACTTAGGATTTAATGGCTATTATCCCCAAAAAGACGTGTGAAGGAAATGTATAGAGCACATAATATTCATTTCATTAAAAAATACACACACTGCCTGAGACATTTTAATCTACTCAACATATTGAAATTTATGTAAGAATGTGGCAGAGTTGAGCTTTCATGTGCAGTGGTAGTCACTACTGTACAGCATAGACAACATTTCAATACAGTGGATAAATTTTCAATACAGTACCAAATTTTGTGAATGTTGATGTATAAAACAGTCCGTCAATAATGCAATAAATTGTCCCTTTTTTTCCACTTATACTTTAACACAACATATTTCAGCCTTAGATGGCCATCTTCAGGTGTCTTAATATATTATATAATAGATTTGATTTTATTATATACAGTGCGTGATTTTAGCACATATTAATACAGTGTAGCACGCTTCTCCAAGTATAATTAGAATGATCAAGTCAAGAAGTATGAGATGGGCAGGGCATGTAGCATGAATGGGGGTGGGAGAAGAGGAATGCATATAGGATATTGGTAGGAAAGCCAGAAGGAAAGAGACCACTGGGTAGACTAAGGCGTAGGAGGGTGGACAATATTAAAACGGATCTTAGAGAGATAGGATGGGATGGCATGGATTGGATGGATCTGGCTCAGGATAGGGACCAGTAGAGGGCTCTTGTGAACAAGGTATTGAACCTTCGGGTTCCATAAAATGCTGGGAAATTCTTGAGTAGCTGCAGATTTGGCTTCTCCTCAAGAAGGGCTCAGCTCCAAGCAGTTTTTATTAAGACACCTGAAGATGGCCATCTAGGGCCGAAACATGTGTTAAAACTGTAAGTGGAAGAAAAAGGAACAATTTGTTGCCTTATTGACGGACTGTGTTATACATAGACATTTTAATATGGCTTGCAACTGGATGCTTAAATACAGAATTTGTGAAAGTGTTCATTCAGGGTCATGCTGTTATGGGTAGACTGACACAATGTACCTGGTTCACACACTGTTCAGAAAGACAGTATTGTAAGCCTGTATTCATGTAGCTATAATTGGTTCTCAGAGTGTCATATGTGTGGTTGGGTTATCTGATTTCTGACCAGAAAATTCTGTTGATGGATGGGTGCTACATCTACATACATGCACATATTATTTACAGAACTCACATGATGGAAGTTTCTGTTCCATACAAAGGTATGCTGTAGCATAAAATATAGATATATGGTTTTGATGCCGACTGACCCCAAGTTTATCAAAGGTTATTACCTGGAACAGAACAGTGATCGAATGTCAACAACTGAGAATCTGCTACAAACACATGCACTAACAGTCATATATTTGAGTGTTAATTTGAGTGACTGAAGTTAATACACTGACTGAAGGCAACATTTCATAATTACCCAGAGTTATAAAATGTTATACCATATGAGAACTTTTATAGATTTCAATGTATTAGAAAATGTACTCACAGCTTAATAATTCTTACTTCCTCTATACAGCATAAAAGTACCTCTTAGTTAATCATGTCAAAATCTGTAAGACTTAAAGAATCAATGTACTGAGCTTAAAAAAATGTTGCATTTTATTTTTCTCTCCAACTTCTGTTTGAAACATTTTTTGCTTTGACATGTATCTACTGATGTATATTCAAGATGCAATCTTCATGTAAAATATTTTTTTATTGTTCTCTGATTTTAACCGAAATGGGAGTGAGTTAATGAATTTTTGCAGAACTTTCAAAACTTTCAGTGGTCTTGAGTTGTTACATATAGACAGACGGATGGACAGAAAGGCAGGCAAGTAACATGTGCATTCTAAAATTTTTCATTGCTAATGCTCCAAAAATGATCGATCACCTGCAGATGACCCTCGAAGTCATGCAACTATATTAGTTTGATCCTGTCTGTCTGTCTGTCTGTCTGTCTAGCAGATTGTTGCTGGCCTTTGCCAATAATTATTCCTGGTTTTGGGCCTTGTGGGACCCATGACCCTACTTTTCTGTCTCACAACACAACCTCAATCACACTCAAATTCTGCATAGAACAGCATAACAACAGCATCCTGACTATGGATCTAAAACTGTAATGTTCAGTAATTACAAGCGTTTGTTATGACAAGTTCAGCTTTTGTGATTCACTTCTTGCCATCTGCATACAACTTTGGTTAATTTCACTTGTCTTCTTCTTTTTACTGTATATCATGACATGTTTCAGCCTAATTGGCCATTATGAGGTGTACAGGTTGTTGTGATGAAGGAATTTGGTGCTCTGCTGTAATGTTGATCTCCTTTTCTTTTGTGCAAATGCCTTGGATTATTCTAGGTTACATGGGTTACTGTGCTGTTGCCATGCACGTTTGGTTTGTCTGTAATATGTGAAAGGTTATAATATTAAAATAAAACTCTAATATAATCCATCACGTATTGCAGATAAACACACACATGGCAAGAGGAAGATTACCCATAGAACACAGAATACACATAAGAAAACAGAACAGCATTTCAATGAGCAGCAGATTCCTTCATCACAACAACTTGTACACCTGATGATGGTCAATTACGCCAAAACATGTTGTGATATACACTAAAAAGAAGACGAGTAAATATTAACCAAAGTTTCATATAGATGGCAAGAATTGGAATATAAAATCTGATCTACACAGTGGAACAGGATGCTGCAATATAACATTATGTTCAAGTAATATAAGGCAAGGTTTTGCCTTCTGACAGAAAGTACTAGTCTTTCTTTTTACACCTCTTTAACAGTGATTTCCTTTCACAGCAAAATTACATGCATTATGCTGTTCATATTTTCACAGTGAAGACAGCTTTTTCTTTCAATGGCTCTTGGAGCCCATTCAAGGCCCTGGCCTCTTATTCAGTTCCATAATCATTTTTCACACATGGCAGGACTCCTTGGATGAGTGATCAGCTCGTCGCAAGGCCTCTACCTAAACAAAGGACAACACAAACACAGAATAAATGCATACACACACCAAACATCTATTCCTTAAGTGGGATTCGAACCCAGTGTCTTCACTCACTCAGACAGTTCATGTCTTAGACTGTGTGGCAACTGTGACCAGCACAGTGAAGACAGCTACCTCCAAAAATCTATAGAGGTACAATGCCTATGTCAACTGCAGTGAACTTCAGACAGATTATATTTGAAAATAATGTAAAAATGGTGGTTATGATATCAATATTTCCACTAGGAAATACAACCTCTTTCAACCAACATTAGTACATTTTCTGTTATTTGCCCTTTAACTATCAAGGACAAAATGGTGGTGCTACAAGTTATGAATAAATCTATTGTGCCAAGTACTGAGGTGCTGTAACAATATTTTGAAAGTTAATAAGAATATAAGTGTAACATCTGTCTTTAGCTGATAAATTTATGAAACATTTCTACTTACTGTATCTATGGATAAAGCTTCAATATGATTTAACAGAAGGTTTGCCACTATATCTTCACGCCATCTCACTGCTGGATCATCAGGCAGGTATGAATTTCTACGATAAAAGAAATAAATGACTGCAAACTATATCAATTATGTAATTCATTCAAGCTGATATCAATATAAAAATAATATTTGCACTTGGGACAACTTAAAGGACATTTTAATAATGCTGTCAGCAGTAGTCATCTACCTGGCCCAGCTTTTGATATGTGTATTACATCAGCAAACTTTGGCATATCACAAGATTTATATCACCCTCCCCTTGTAACTGACATTGCTTCCCTCCTGTAAAATATTTATTACATTATTATTATTGCTCAGATGTGTGTACTTCATCTTCTGTTAATACTGTTGTTGACTGCCTTAATGCAGGTGTTCTAGGTGCTACTGTCTGCAGGCATCATAAGCTCTGTTCACAACTTCTTGTTTCCTACTGCAATATGCAGTTTTACTGAGTGAATTATTCTATCTGGTTGGCCAGGAATTTCATTTAAATTTCCTGCTATTTGTAAAGCATAACTAGGCTACTGAGGATATCCACTAGTGAGATGGCAATATTTCCGACTATCCCCATGCCCAGTGTGAAAAGTACACTGGGACTACACCATACTAGACTAGACCACAGATTTGCAAGAGACAGTAGCATGCAATGGTAAAATTTGAACCAAATATACACACCAATGTTTGTATCATCTATATCAGAAATTAATGTTCAGTCTTAGCTTATGGGCACTGGACTGAAGAATAATGCCATCACACTACCTCTGGCAAAGTCATGAAGTGTCGAACTGTTTTAGTATACTGGTATGGATTACTATTACAGCGTTGTGCATCTCTCACCCAGCAATCTGCTCCGCTACCTGAAGAATATGTGTGGATTTGAGGCTTCCAAAGCTCCCAATTCACATGTAATACAGATTTATAGAATTTTATCTAAAAGGCACCACCTAGATCACATCTTAAGTCTGTAAAGTGATTTCTAATTGGAAAGTACCTCCCCATTCAAATACATGCAACAGGTTATATGATAAGAGACCAAATTCCAAAGATCACCTCCAAAAACTTCCAAACACCCAGGATGTGAAAATGCAAAAGGGCAGGGAACCTTTACACATAAAAAACAAAACTATATTCACATGTTCATACTGTGATCTGAAAGTTGCAGTGATGTCATTATTCCAACAGGACACAGAGATAATAGCATCCTGCCAAATTGGCAAATGACCTTCTTTCTCTAAGAGCTGATAGTTTAAATGAAACTTATATGAAACAAAGAAGCATAACTGGGGGGGGGGAGAAAAAACCACACACACACACACATATTAAAAAAAAATACAATGGCCATGCTCTCACTGTGGGGTTTGCTATCTGTATGGTGACAGCAAACATGTCAAACATCAATCACAGACTCCCAGGCCACACCTTATACCGTTATTTATTTAAAACAATACAGCCTATCCTTACTTGCATAAAGTGATGTTGCTGTCAGGAATACCAAGGATTCTACAGCTGTCCCACAGCTCTTGTTTCCTTACTACTCCCTCTTGATTATAATCCCCTATGGACAAAAATATAATCACAGACATTTGAAATGTTCTTAAAAGACTGACGTTTCACAATCCATATATGAAACATTTTAACTAACCTTCTGAAAGGCACAATATAAATATTTGACAGTCACTCTGTTGAGCTAGTTTAAGTATAACGGGTCCAAAAAACATACACTCATCGTCTGGATGGGCTATCACAAACAACACTCTTTTTACAGTTCTCAAATGTCTACAATCTGGAGAGATCTTCAAGTACACAGTTGCCAAATAGAAGACAACACAAAGGCAAATGTATGCCGTAACTGCTATCGTAAGATGTTCCATTGATTCTCTGGCATATTTACATGTCTCCTGCACAACTGTATCCCCCAGTCTTCTCAGATCTTCTAATTTATCTTGAAGTGGAAATACATCAAGCATAACCAACATATGCAATAGTTTTGAAGTACCTGCTTTTGTCAGAGCACCCCTACCTTTCGTTTTAGAAAGCCATAAACATACGGAAATGTGGCATAACTTCACATTAGCCCCCTTTTACAAGACATACCTTGTTATATTCACCTACAATATCTCTAAACCAGGCTTAAACCTCTACCTCGACCTCTCAATTTTTTTTAAAACAAATGTGTAAGACAGTTACTTCCTTTGCCATAGAGACCGCTAGTGTCATATGCGAAGCCAAGCACCAACTTAAACGAGAGAATTGTCCCATGTAGTCTGTGGACTAACTCATTGCAATTCAAACTTCTGATCCGTATATGTGGTCAAATTATATTCCCTCCAGATTTAACAATTGCCTTTGGCACAGATTAATAACTCCGTGCGGATTATTACAACTGATCTATGTAATAAATAATTATGTTCAGAGTCACGGTCAGAGTTACTTTGCTGCTGGCTCTTTACCAATTAGTTCGTCTTGGCGACAAGCCCCTTGGGCCCCACGACCAGTAATTTTATTTTCCTACTGAACACTTGCGGTTATAGTCCTCACATAACATTTTCTCTGAGAGAGGATTGGTCTGTCGTTTTCAATTGCTGGTGGTACTCGCCAGCGCAGCCATTCACGGGTTCGAGTCCCACCAGACTCATGACAACATTTTACTCTCATATTCGAGACTCCCCCAACATGGAGGGACAGATCCCCTTATTTATATCCCGCAGAATAGGTTTGCCCGGTTATATCCCCACGCACTGGGTTCCCTTTTCGTCGCCCCCTTCGACTCGCGGGACTGCGGTAGAGGTATTCGACCCCGCCTTCACGTGGGATAATTAATTTAAGGATGTTGGTGTTGGCTATTTATTAAGATTTAGTGATCCGTGAGCTCACAAAGTTTGTTTCCGATTTTGTGCGTAATTTTGTAACGCTTGGAAGAGTTTGGTGTGTTTTTACAGTCAGGAATAAAACGATGAATAGTGAAGGTAAATGAGGATTTTTCTGGAGGAGTTCTAATATTATTAACAATTAAAAGTGGTGCTACATGTTAACTACCAAATTTAAGCTTATAGGTTGCATTATTCCGACAACATAACCTGCAACCTATTTGGTTATAAAGGTTCAGGCTTACCAGTGCTACGGATAAATACCATATGTAGGCACTAGTATAGGAGCATGGGTAGCGTAGTCGGTATAGTGACCGGCTACGTGTTGGACGACCGAGAGGTCAGAGTTCGAGTCCCGGTAGGGTCAACAATTTTCTCTTTTGCACGTCGTCGGGACTGGCTCTGGGGTCCACCCAACCTCCTATCAAATGGATACCGGGGGTAAAGTGGCCGGGGCGTGAAGCTGACCACTCACCTCCAACTAGTGCTGAGGTCAAGTAAACGTGGATCTATCTATCAATTCCCACTTACGCCTTCATGGCATAGTGCTTAATTAGTTAAGCACAAGGACAACTTTATATACACATTAGTACATCTCTGAAAGGTTCGGCTATAAGATGAAGTTCGCGACATTTTGAGAAGTCTTAGGACATATGTAATAATATGAAACAGATTTTTGGGGAGAGGGGATTGGCAGGGGAAACCGAAGTACTTGAAGGAAACCTGCCTCAGCGCCACTTTGTTCACCACAAATCCCACTTGACCAGACCTGGGCTTGAATCCGGGCCGCCGCGGTGGGAAGCCAGCGAGTAACTGCTTGAGCTATGGCACGGCCTTATTTCAGCAGCATGTACTAGAACTTTAATCACAAAGCATTATGCTTGTTTGCTTGGACTGTAATGGCTCATAATCTTATCTGTGATTCATAAACACTAAGTTCATCTCCTGTAATCCACTTATTTTACCAATATTACTAGGTGTACCTGGCATAACATGTGTCATTCTAGGAGATGTTGAAGCTTATTAATTAAATATCAATTCATTTTATTTATTTAAATATTTCATTTCATTTGAGGCATTCATTTGTATGACTCAGCAAGTGGGATGACTTGTTGCAGCATGTCATCCAGTCATTTCATTACCTTTCACCCTTGGTTTCATTGATTTTCATGGCCTTCTGTTGTTGTATCAGCAAAACTGAAAATATATCTGTACTTATTTTCTTAACATGTATCCCATGTAAACAACTCTTGTAATAGAGCTGTCAAGCGGTACCTCTGTTGGTGTTCCCACTAACTCGTTCCGACTGGTGAGGAGCAGAAACCTAGTACATGTTCGGTCACAGCAACTGAAATGAGTCAAATAGATACATACTCAAATATTGCTATGACCCAAAGTTTGCTTTCTATACAGGTTGGTAGAAGAAGATCTGAAATAAATTAGGGGGCAGTTTGCCAATTCTAGGTATGTTCATTTTGTGAACCGAAAGTTACTTCAGATTGTCAGCAAATCTGGAATAAGTCATATGAGTGTTACATTCAAACAATTACCACGACATAGTGTGATTGCTTTACTGTGTTGAATTTGAAATTGATAGAGAACATTTTTGTTTGCTTTTCAGTTCTTTTAGACTTGTGTTCCAAATTGCCTGAGGCAATTCAAGAAGCAACTAGAGTTGAGGAACTGCAGTCACATAATGAATTTATTAAGGAGATGGTAATGGCTTCTTTACCGAAATCTAAACAGTCTACAGTGGATAGTGAATTCAAAAGGGTATGTAGAGCTCATATGCAAGGAAATGAATGAAATGTGTTATGCCTTTTAGCATGGTCAGCTTTAAAAGTGTCATTTGTCAAGAACAAAACAAATACAAATTCCTTGATATATATTTTCATTACAGTGGCCAGTTATTAACACATTTTTTATGTTAATAGTATTTCTTAGCAGATGTACAGCACAGTTAAAACACTTCTCTTGTTGAAAAGTGTAGATTCAAATATTTGCATGCTGATGAACTGTGGAACTTCAGAAACGTTTAGTTATTGATTTTGTCTGAAAAATTATAAGCATTGCCCAGTACTTCTGTTTGAGTAATATGCATCAGTGATGCTTTATGATCTGTCTTCTCACCCTACTGCAGCTTATTATCACTGAACAAGGGTTACTTTCTTCTACTGGAAAGATTTGTTTCACTGTATCAACCAGTAATAAGTGATTTTCAAGGCCGAATACAGCATGGACATTAAATATTTAATTTAATAAACATTCTGGGACATGCGTGGCACTAATGACATTGCATGGATACATATGGAAGAGACTCAGATGCCAGTTATAACAGTGTTGTAAGTCATTTATGGGAAACTGTTATAACACAGCTGATTTTAAAATATTCTGCTACGATGTCAGAATTTTGATCAGGATACTATCCTCGCAGGCTTTTTGTGGTTTTTCTTAGCCATAGGTCATGGCCCTTTCCCCTGCAATCTTTTGTAGCTCAGTACACATGCATATCATCTTACATGATGCTGCAACCTTGCAGTTGGATACAACATAATGAATCCTCAGGAGAGAGTCCTTCACTTTGGCCATACCAATGGTGAATACAGTGAAAAGTTTCACTGCAATATATTGTAACATGTAAGATATTAGTGATTATTACATTATTTTTATCAGTTTTATTGGTATACTGTTTCAGAAATTTGTACTTCTTAAATTCAGGCCTGCAGGTAAGAAACATGTGCCATATAGAAAGAAGAAACAGCTGTCATTGAAACAGAGGCGTGAACTTGGACTGTATAAGATAAATAGAACAGGAATGAAATACAAGGATTTTGAAGAACTTCACTGCCTCTGGAAAGAGTACATGAGAAGTTGCTTGGATCTGGAAGAGCTGGCAAAGAGAGGGTATAAAACATTATTTATAAAATGTTGCATATTTATAGTTTGATTCTAAGCTATAAGTAATTGTCTTCCAGATTTACAGGTGAGCCTGGAAGCAAATATTGGAACAATTTCTCTCAGGTATTTCTGAAAGCTGACTACCATGGAGCATATCTGAAGGTTGTGAGATCTACTTGCAGCAGCCTTGTAGGGCAGTCTGGAATAGTAGTATTTGACACAAAAAACACATTCAAGATCATTGGTAGAGATAACATTGTAAGGAGTAAGTATTAATGGGTTTTTTTAAAGAGATTAGTTGTGCATTGGAGACTGACTGCTTTTGTCACTAATACCCTGTACTGCTTTTATTTTAGCTATTCCAAAACAACATAGTGTATTTACTATGGTACTGGATGACTATACCTGCACTATACATGGAAAGTACTTCTGTATCCGGCCACAAGACAGGAGTGTGAAAAAAATAAAGACCTGCATGATAGCAGATTTGTGAATTTGAAGAAAATGTGTATTTCCTTTGCGCAATAAAATCCTTTATGAAGTTTAAGGCGAATCTCTACCATTGCAACTTGGGTAACTATGGTATATTGTGCTCCGTTTCAGTAGCTCATTACCGATCACAGCTATCCCCGGTGTATTTAAATTTCCATTTTACATCAATCATCATATGTAAATACAGTACATATTTTTTTTTTGCTGTCAGAACCATTATTATATAAGTTACAAATTTACAAAGACAACTGATATCAAAAGAATAACCCTAGTCAACAAATTTCATTTTTTTCTCCCTGAATGACAGTTGGTGCCCTTTACAGAACTTGAGCCACTGGTTCCAAGTCTGACAATAAGTATTCTGTGGCACATACAGTTTTTGAGGCATGAGCTAATCAAATTTAAATTTCTGATGTTTGGGAATTAAATCACTTCTGTTATAGCATTACGTGGCTGATATGGAAAATGTAACAGCAAACGTTTCTTTCCTTTTATTCGAAGTAATATTAAGCATATGAAAGGAAAAATAAACCAGCAGAAAGTTTTTACTTTTATACGGTATAAAACTATGTAATACAAATGGGAATCACAGTATGCATTTAATGTATTAAAAATCTCTTCTTTCCTTTTGTATGTGTCTGGAGTTTCTCTTTTAAGTTAGCAAAGCTAGATTCACTATCCCCTGGTAGTGGCTTTTTCACGGCAGAAATGTCCTGATGAAATCCAAATTCTAAGTGAGATATTTCACTTCATTATTCTGTAGGCTTCAGGCATTTGCTCAGCCAACTGTAGTTGGGGCACGTGGTAGTGTAGTTGGTTCAGGCACTATGCTGCAAGCCGGAAAGTTGTGGGTTCGAGGTCATTGGATTTTTCAATTGACCTAATCCTTCCAGCTGCACTATGGCTCTGGGGTCAACTCAGCCTTGAGCACAAATGAGTACCAGGTATCTTTCTGGGATAAAGGGTGGTTGGCATATAAGACTGACAACCTCATTGCCATCTGTGAGCTGACTGTCTAGAAAAACATGGGAACCTTGACATCTCACAAACCTATGGGCCTCCATGGCCTGTTTCAGGGATAGCTTTAAACTTTTTACATTTACTATCTGCAGCTGGCTGATTTGTGCCTGCCCAGAAAATCAACAACCTATCTGATTGCTTCCTAAACTGTCTTCTCAGATCCTTGACCTCATCAAACATTCTGTCATTTGTAACTTTCTTTAACTGAGGACTGATGAAGATCCATTTTTGTATACCTGATCACAGAAACTTCTGTACCAGACACTGAAAACCTCCATTCTGGTTCATAGCCTTCACATAAGTTTTTATTAGTCCAAACTTTATGTGAAGGTAGAAATATAGTTGGTGGAACTGTAAGTAGGACATTTTCAGTGTTCTCTTGCCTAGGAAGAAACTGCTTATGTTATTCTTTCACAGCATAATGGCTACTAACATAACTTACATTCACATAATCAGCAGCAAAATTTTGTATAACTAAGCTATATGTTGAGCAGAGGAGCCATGACTTTCAAATCTCATCAATAATCCAGCATTATTTGTTATAGCATATGCAACTGAGCAGAAGCTTCATACTGTCAAGGTGCTTTCATGTAGAAAGGTTCAAACTTAACTTTGAAGAATCAATAAAGTCATCACTCTTAAGGTATATACAGTAGAACTTGGTTATAACGTCATCAAAGGGACCTAAAAATAGTGTCGTTATAAACGAATGTCGTTGTAACCGAAATGGGCACAGTAGCCTTATGTTAGTCACGTAAAAATCTACCAAAAACCGAGTTAAAATGTTGCATTTTTTAGTGAAATACGTAGTTAAGTACAGACTAACGTAACATTAACGTGGAATTGCCCAAATGTGTAATATCAAAGACATATTACAGCGCTTTTCACTGACAATACACACTGCACTAATACTGTATATTAAAGGTAGGCCTACTCACCAAATTACAGTAGATTACATCAATTGTTGTGCCTTACTGTACCTAGATACGAGTACAGTAATCAGTTATCTTCATCTGTTTCCTGTTACTTGCCCAATACACACTTTCTAAATTACGTTCAATGTCCATATCAGAGAAATTCAGGAATGAAAATGACGTTACATACGAGGTTGATGCATTTGTGCATGTCGTACTAAGCAAGGTATAAAAACAGTTGCTTTATGAGGAATTAGTTCGTACCATTGAATATTTGACGCAATAGACAAGGTGTCGCAGAAACCGATGTTGCTATAACCAAGTTTTACTGTACATTCATGCCCTGATACCCTTGTCATCTCATCAGTATTGCTGCAGCAGGATATATCACCATACATGGAACAGAAACTTGCAGGTTCTTTTTCAATTATGAAAAATGGAGCATTTTTAAAGAGCATTCCAGTTTTCTAATCTAGAATCAAGAAGCTCCACTTGATTTTTGGAGAGGTTTAAGTTTTGTACGAGTTTATTTCATTGAATCTGGTTTATTAAATGGAGTCTTTCTGAACTTTATAGTACATTTTCTCTGTAAAGATCCTTATAATCTACATCCATTGCTCTTACCCATCTCACACTCTCTGGTTTCTTGAAGACTGAATTTTTCAAGAAACCAACACTGATCTCACTCTTTACTCAGTGCCAATGGAGGACAGGCTGCTGTTGCTTTCAGAGCTCTTCCACAAACAGACTTTTGCCCCCATCAGATAGGTTCTCACCATGACACTGTCTTTACAGTGGCTCATTCTATGACCAAGGATATGGTGTAGCCATTGGATCTTGCCTCACCACTGCAATGGCTTACACACGGAATCCTTCCAACAGTAAGTCATAAGCTTGGTGGCCAAGAAGCTGGCACACTGGTACAGATATGTGGATGATACATTTGTCACATGGACACAATGAAAGGAAGAGAAACACCATAACATCCACCCTAACATTAAGTTCACTATAGAAGCAGAAGACTACACTATTTTTCTTAGATGTCCTGGTAACCAGAAGGACAAACAGCTCATTGGGACATACTGTATATAGGAAGCCTGCATATAAGGACCTCTATCCTCAATTGATGTGAGAACACCATCTGTTATAGAAGCGGGCTGTACTAACACTCATTAATTGGGCCAAACCACATGCAATGATGATAGCTGTACACAGAAACCAACCTCCTGAAGAAGGCCATTAGACAACAGCTACAGTAACTGTGTCATGCCCTTGCTTGAAAAAACAAGAAGCTGGCAGGCATAGTGATAACACATCTACAAGCTGTCTTGAACAAAATCAGCAGCCTTCTTGCTAAATACACCATTAAGACAGTTCACATTCCTGCAAAGAAATATATCCATATGCTTACACCTACAAAAGACAAACTAGATCTAAAAATCAGAGGCACATATTGCATCCCATGCAAGTGCAGCAAGGTGTATGCTGGACAGATGGGCAGAGCGAAGATTTGAAATGGCACACTATCAACATAGCTGCACCTCTATACTAGATAAAGCAGCAGGATATATAAATTACTTAGGAAAGGAGGCCATCAAGATCTGGCTTCACCCCAGACACTTTTTAACAGGGACGGGGTCTTCAGTTTTAGTTACTTGTATGTGGTGATTGATATGATCAAGCAATACAGAGATAAATCAATGTGAAGACAAGATCAAGCAAAGCAAATTATGAGTTCTACCACTAGCACCCAGTGCCTTGCATTCAGTTTTCATCATGGGCTACAGGTTGGTATGGATCCAATGTCATGTCAGATCCTCATGATGGAGAGACAGGTGGTCCCTGGTCATTTGTAGCCTGCAAAGAGGCACAGCAAGCCATCCTGAATAATAAGTATTGGCACTGGTTCCTGATTTTGCATTCTAAATATAGTTCATATGCCTATTTTATGGGTACATGCAGTAATGTAGTTGATTGAGGCACTATGGTACAAGCCAGAAGGCTGTGGGTTAAGAGTCCCGATGAGGTAATTGGATTTTCTTCAATTTATCTAATCCTATCAGCTGCACTATGGCCCTGGGGTCGACTCAGCCTCTAACAGAGTACCAGGAATTTTCCTGGGTGGTAAAGAGAGGCTGGTGCTTAAGGCTGACAACCTCACCGCCATCTGTGAGCTGTCTAGCAAATGTGGGAGCTTCGACATCTCACAACCCTATGGGCTTTCACAGCCTGTTACAGGGGTAGCTTTATCTTTTTATGCCTATTTTATAAGAGGCTTTATTGTTCTCTTTTGAGATTTGACAGTGAACTGGTCACATATGTAGAAAAGCATGTTACTGTTATTTACACACTGGCATGACATTAAAACACAACTCACAGTAAAATATACAAAATAAGTCCCTTAATTGGAGACTGATAATGTGTATCTTTCGTATGCAACTACATTAAGCAGCATTAACACACCTTTAAGGCTTTAAGCCTCCACACTGGTGCACATACAAGCTGGGGTGGGTAAGTCTTGTATGACAAAACCTTACTCAACAATGCCTCAATTCACAAAATTTCACTTGTAATGAGCAAACAGGCAATTTCAAGCACAAAAACACAGGTAATGCATAAAGATGGTGAAACTGAATTACACCAGTACTGATACTATTTAGATCTTGAGTTGTAATTCTTTCAGAAGCCATAAATTTGTACACATCTATATGGAAAATCAAGTGACAGGACATTAATTAATTACTGAAGCAACATGTGTACTGTACTGACGAACAGAATTTTGAGGCAGCAGTGATTTATTTTTTTCTGTTTGTTTTACCACAGTTCACTTTTATAACAGACATACTTCAAACACAAAATTGGCCAGCCTACAACACTTTGCATGACTTAAAATGTAGCCTAAATGAATTCCTACTTTGTATTTTGAAGGTCCAGGATTTCCATCCTGGTCTGGGGACCACCCATCCTAACCAAGCAATTTTATGGTTTTCTCCATCCTTCCAAGCATGTACTGGAACAGTATCTTGAAAGATGCCATCACTTATTCTTACACTTCCTTCCCAATTCATAATTCTCCCATTCGATATGTATGATATTAAAGATACAAAAATTATCAAAACACACAAAAAAAAAAAAATAAAATGTTAACTTCACAACTATACATCTATTTCTTTATGCTTTTTTCATAAACTTATGCTACATTGCACAGATAAAATGATAACAGTCCTAAGCCATAATGTAGAATAGCAGCTTGAATAATAACCTAGGAAAGATATGGAAGACCGTGGTCATTGCCCACTCTTTCAAAACCATGTTAGACATAATGGTAACTAGTCTTTGGGCCAAGAATCAAATCCAGGACCACCAGATGTCATGCCAGCCACTGAACTATCTATTAGAAATGCAAAGTCTGCTTGGGTATAGATGCTGCTGAACAGAAAAGCTACACAATACTGCTGCAGGTTACCCTCAAATGACCACAGATGTAGATAGTGTAAAAGATTGTTCTTTTCTCTAAACATCAATATTTAACACTTGATGTCCTCTGTTGATATAAATGCTGCACTAAGTGATTAACACCGGAGCTGATCTCTTGGGCTCTGGCAGTTTTAATATGAGTACGCTGAGCCAGTGATGGGATGCATGGGGTTAAAACATGTAATTTATGAATACACGAAGGCTTGTATGGCTCACAGTTTCCAAGTTCTTGGAACATTCCTGGGAAGTCAGTATAAAATTATTAATTTTTGAAATGTCTGTTATGGATGGATGATGAGAAGTTTGACAGTAGCTATAATCAGGAATGTACTGGCACACTGTAGGAAGGATCAGGGACAAAAACATAGGAAACTACAACAGACTGAGGATGGCTTATAACATGAACTTCATTAGAAAGACAAAAACCAAGTCAGGTGGGAGGGCTATTCCTGGGCATATTCATCATGAGTGATTACCTATCTGGCACTGTTTTCCTGTAAGCTTTTGCATAAACTGTACTTCCAGTTCTGTTTCCAAAGTCATGTATGGCCAGTAGTCCATAAAAGTCCTGTTAACCCACCCTCCTGTCCTACCCTAGCCTGAGAGAGAGTTTGCATTTGAGAATCTGCAAGCACCTTACATCCTGCAAGTTTTGCCCACTGAGTAACATACATCATATAACATTCTCTGAATTTCCTCTTCTGTTCAACGGCTTATTTCAAGCATTATATGTAATGCTTGCTTAAATTTTGATTTATGGAGGCACTGTGCACTACCTTCCCAGTCCCCTGAGCTTCCACTGACCTAGACTGAATGATGATGTCATAATATAAAACTATGTGCATGTTCTTGTCATCATCAATATCTATGTTTCAGGTGGCAGGGATTGCAAAATTTTTAAAGACCTTAATTATTGCAAAAAAATGACAGACCTTACACTTGAACATGAAGCTTGAAACAGTACATCTTTGTGAAAAAGCAAAATAGGAAAGTGGTATAGATTAATGTCAACACTATTTACGATACTGGAGAAAATACTGTATATACTAAATCCAAGAAAACTAACATTGTTCCTTTCTTCAGGACTACATATTGGTGAAATTCATTTCAAGATTTCAGTTTGTGACTGTGTGATGAACATGAGACCTGTTCTACAAGTTTTAGCATTACAGGCATGGGAACCGCAGATGGTACAACAGATCTTGTCCATGTTATAAAGGAGCCTGTTTTCATTATGGGTGCAGTAACTTAAACATAATCATTGGATTCAGTTAGAAAATTAAACATTTACACGTCAATGTACAGTTTAAGTGCAATTAACATAAGGTACATTTTACTAATTTTCATTTCATGCATCCTGTTGTGTTATAATATACAACTTCTTTATTAAAACTGTCACAACACAACTATATCGAGGTCAGTGCCTAGTTTTGGCTCTGCTACATGTTTCGACTATTAATAGCCATCATCAGGCAAATACATGGCTAACATATATACACCACTGAACTGCAGTAATAGTAAAACTGGATACAATAATATTAATTATGTAAAATACTTGATGTAAAAATACAATAAATTAGATTATATAAAACAAAAGTTATAGTATAAAACAAGAACAAAATTCGACTGATGCTTTACATCATCGAGTCAGTCGTTGCTTTTGTAATTTTGTTGCATTCCCAGGGACAAATTGGAGTATTCTATATTTGTGTGTATATAAAAAAACTGTTATTGGAGACTTGTGATGTAGATGTTGTAATATTAATGTTAATCTGAAAATGATATGAAAGTAATAGTATTAAATTTTGTTATAATCAACAGTTGATTTTGGTATTGAAGATTAGTGTATTATTACTTACTATTTAGTCGGTGCCTCTTTCATATCATTTTCAGATTAACATTAATATTACTACATCTACATCACAAGTCTCCAATAACAGTTTTTTTATATACACACAAATATAGAATACTCCAATTTGTCCCTGGGAATGCAACAAAATTACAAAAGCAACGACTGACTCGATGATGTAAAGCATCAGTCGAATTTTGTTCTTGTTTTATACTATAACTTTTGTTTTATATAATCTAATTTATTGTATTTTTACATCAAGTATTTTACATAATTAATATTATTGTATCCAGTTTTACTATTACTGCAGTTCAGTGGTGTATATATGTTAGCCATGTATTTGCCTGATGATGGCTATTAATAGTCGAAACATGTAGCAGAGCCAAAACTAGGCACTGACCTCGATATAGTTGTGTTGTGACGGTTTTAATAAAGAAGTTGTGTACATTTTACTGTTAAGTATAGCGACTGTTTCAAAACCATCACATATGTGCATAATGTTGAAAGGCTGCAATGTATTTCAAGCATGTCCTTTAGAACCCGTAACATACTGTACATATGTAATTTAAACTTCACATCAATTACTGAAGTATGACAAAAAGCTGCCACTTTTATTTTCACATATGAACATGAAGTGAATTATGGGTGAAATGTGGCTGGGACTTGCAAGTATACAGCAGACAGTAGCAAGGAGAAGAGTTTATGTAGTTCTTTAGTTTGGATAATATTAATGGCAATGAACTGAATTATTCATTATTTTCATACCCCCTTGATAATCACGCCACAGAAAAAATACTGCCATACCCATATTATTATTCGAACTTTAGTGCCATACTGTGTATTATACATAATTGGAAGTTAGGGGATGGACTTTAGTTATGAATTTCAACAATTTTCAGGTATTAAGAATATCTGTTAGAATAAGCATTTTTGTGAATTTTATAAATTCTTGTAAAACTGAAGTTGTAATAATCTGGTAGGAATTCTAGCATTACATGTTTAAGTTAAAACACAATAAAGGTAAAATGGGTGAGAATTACACATTATTTTAATGACACACTCACTTTCTGACCACAATACACTCGATTTTTTCAATAAGATTCTACTGAATTACAGTTGAAATGAAATTAACTACAGCTTTTTGAAACTGTTAATTTATCCATAAAGAGATTCAAGTTTTCTTTAAATATATCTTCTTAGAACCACATAAAGCCACAATTCTACTGTTAAGTTACTTCTATTTTTATTTTATTCATCTCTTTACAAGGAGTATTCACAGTAGTAAATACATCATTAGTGTTTGTCATTAACAGCTTAATAAATGTAAACATACTGTAGACAGCATGATGCTGCCTTAAAAAAAATAAATATACAAAATGAATGCTGACTGGATTTGCAACAACTCTCAGTTCATGCTTGGCCAATGTTTTTGTTAATGTAATTGAGTAACAATAAATTATCATACATATATTATTTTTATAGTGTCATAAAATGGAAAGCAAATGTTCTTTCCAGATTAACATGATATAACTGCAAATCCTTAATTTTTACTGCCATATTGTAATGGAGCTGCAATACTATCATTCCCTCAAATATTCTACCATTTTCTCTCCAAAGGGTTTCTTTGTATTTTGGAATGGATTTACAATTAACATTCTAGTAACAAAAAGGACAGAAATAGTAGTAGTAACAGGCTGGACTTATGAAATTAAGATGTCAAGTCATGAAGATTGCTTCCACTCATGCTGCAATAATGATTCACTGTACAAGAAATGGAAACAAATTTCACCTCTAAAAACAAATGTAAAGAAACTGCTGCAAGGACAAAGTATTGTCACTTAGTTGGTTCAGTATTTTATCAGTCATTCTAGGTATTGCCTGGCATTCATAAATATACTATATATATATGTACTATGTTACTTGAAAGTGGTGGGAGCTGTACTGCTTTGAAGTACATTCTGTATTAGCATATCATACTTTGTAATTTCCCATCAATCACCTATCCTAGTCAGTTTAACAAGATTCCATTCATATTTATTTGCTTAAGCGATTACGTGAATACTTGTCCTACTCTCTTCATCATCTATCTACAGTGACTTCCATCATTTCATTACTTCGACAGAAATAATACAATCAACATGAAAAGAGGGACATCAAAATTATTCAACATAACAGTATTACCCCAATGTGATCTGAAATGAAACAAATGGATCTGCAACAAAACTCATAATGATATCAGCTGGGACTTTTAATGCTGTACTCTCTAGACGACATGCTGCTCCTGTACAACAGCCACTACACTCACTCACACATTCATGCACACACTGTATTTGAAACCACTTTTCTAACAAACAGTAGCCCAATGCAAGGATATCAGTCCCTTTTGCCAACACATTTTTAATTCCATATAGGTTTCCACTTCAAACTACAAAATCATTTCTTCTGAAGTTCACTTTCTTCTTCCTTCTTGGACTGTAGGGCAGTACTGAAGATAATGGAAGTTCAGGCTTACCTACATACTGTAGCCTTGATAGGGTATGCCTGGAGCGTATGCATTTGGGTATCCTGGAGTGTAACCAGGACCAATCATTCCTGGACCTGCAGTTAGCATTAATTGTGGCTCTGCTGCAAAAGAGAAGCAGACAAAATAGGAACAATGAAATAGTGAAGTGTGTCAGGTTCTAAAGATTCCTTGATCAGATCATTGCATTGTATTAATTATGGAGCTGTAATCCCTGCCGTCAACTTCCTGATCCTGGTTTCAAACAAAAGAGGAAATCTTATGACATCGCCACATACATCCTCCCTCTAAAAATTATGAAAATATCAACTAAGGTGGTTGAAATTCTGCACATCCATTACAGATATATATACAATGACTTCTAATTAACACATTTCAAAATTCCTTGTCAATTAAGGGAGTAACATAAATTTTCCACCAAAAAATGGAACACATTCAAGGTTTGCCTGGATATTTATCACTCAATTTTTTAACAACTGGCAAGTTTCTGCAAATATGTTCAACATACACTGAAATGTAGTTCTATAAGACTTCTCATGATGTTGCACAAATTATTTGTATAGTGGGGATAACCACAGGGACTGACTGCAAAAGCAACGATGAGTGCTAAACCCATTATGTTGGAATTTTCAGACAAGTATTTAACAGAAAAAGAGTTATCAGGGGTTTCCAGGACATAAAAGCATTTGTCAATGTCTGCTATATTACTGGTCACACTCATAACAGAAAAATTGGTTACATATGAAACAAAGAGACGAGTGTCACCGACTCAATATATCAAATTGCAGTACTGTACTGACAAGCAAGTGTGATAATTTTGCTACAATAACTCTTATTTTTTGGCAATGTACTCTATTTTATTTAAACAGTTTCACACATAGACAAGCAATGGCCAGTGCTGTGATATCAGGTGCAAACCATGTGTAAAAGCTAACTGGGAAGCACTGAATTCTGGTTTGAATCACAAAATTCAGTCGGGTCTACATATACAAACATTATGATGACACTGATACCTCCTGGGCCCTCTATTTCTTTGCATCATAAGTACAACTGATATTTGGACACAGCGAGTTCCTGACATGACTGTACAGAGGACACTATTTTGCTATTCTACCTCCCTAAAATTTTCTTGGTTGATTTGTTATATTCTTATTATTAGTTTTGCTGTCCAGGAAGATGATTTCAGTTTGGGAGAAACATGTGACAGATGTTACCAAATCTGTTTTGAAACCTCTGTTATAACTGGATATTTAGGAATGGAATCCCCTAAGATTAGGGGAAATGTATCACTTCTTTTAAGGATGCTTAACATTTTGTGAGTTGTTGAATTTTAGAACATTCTCAGGAATTAATTCTGGCTTTCAGAGAAGATAAAGAAAGACTCTTATTGCTCATTATGTATAATTATGGGGTTGGATTTTCTTCCTTAAATGTCCTTACACAAGTATTAAATTTCACTGTAACTTAGAAGTAAGTTAAGATTAAATTACGAAAAACTCATCTGGGATTTGAAGCCAGGAAGTCTGGTAGACATGTGTCTACATCTCAGAGGAACCACCAGAAGACCATAATCTTCACATTTACTACTGTCTCCCCTTCTTAAATCCTGACCTGAAGTACTTTAAGCTGATGAATGGCCACAAAATTTGAACTGTTCACTCATTTGTACTTTATAATAAGCAGTCAATTCTTATTCATTAAACTATTAACATACTGGTCATTCTGTTTGTGTTCACTTAAGATGGGAAGAAACTTACGCATGATCATAGGCTTGTGGTCCTGTTGTGCAGTTTCTTCTAGTCTCTGGGATTCAGACTCTTCGAGCTTATCGACCTAATGAAAGTAATTAATGAGCATCACTTTCATGTATTATTGTACACCATTATAATCTAACAGTGGCAGCCAGTGCTCTCTACCACAACTTAGTACATTACAAGTTTGAACATCCTTCTTGAATTGATTCAGATCAACCTTTCATTTTTACATGTTTTAAAATTGTAAACCAAACTTTACAAATGTTACTCAGCAGGCTGGTCTCATGGCAACACACAAGACTTGTATTTGTGGCTTTCCTAATTCCCTCTAGGCAAATTTCAGCATAATACCTCAATCAGTCCAAGACTGCTACCATCCAAATCTTCCAATTCACTGTTCATAAATCATCCTGCTATTCAATGCTACAGAGTCCAGATACTGAGTGTTGTGACATGCACAAGCGCACACACGTTACAAAAATTTCA